GTGTGATCAACACGAACGAAATTCGGAAATAAAAAGGAACAACTCGATAAAAAATGACTGATATGATAATCACCATCAGATCAGCCACTGACATGGCCACCAGATAGTGAGTGATACATTTGGAGAGACCGCACCGCCCTCGAAACAGGATCACAATCGACACGAGGTTCGCTACAGAGAGAAAGAGAAATAACCATCACAATGCAACAACTTGTATTTAATCCATTGCTACAATTGACATAGTGTAAATCGGAAGCAATGGACTTGGTGCTGGCAAAATCTCTCCCAGCTCAAATCCTAAACTTTTGGATTCAAAGCGAGAAATCTGCCTCGCAAAGACTCAAATACAGTAAAACAGAGAGAGAGAGACAGATACAGATACACATAAACAGAAAGATACAGAGACAAATAGACAGTCACAGAAACACATACTGAGAGAGGAGAGAGAGAGATACGGAGACAAGCATAGAGAGACTGAAAGATAAAGAGACAAACAGACAGGAAAACAAATTCAGAGAAACAGATGGACAGAGAAGTAAAGACAGATATAGCAACTGGAAAAACAACAACAAAAAAATTATAGAGCCTTCATCAGGAAGTAGGGCCAGTTGGTATACCGAAGAAAGGTAGGGTGAGGAGGAAGGAGGAGGAAAGGTCGGTGAGGGAAGGGGAGGAGGAGGAAAGAGTCGAGAGCTGAACGTCAAGAGAAGGGAGACGGAAGGAAAGGGAAGCAGCGAAGCATGGGGATGAGTCAGAGCTGGGCTGAGAGCTGAAGCGACACGATAGTGGGGGGCGGGAGCAGACCGGAGCAGAGACGAGGTGGAGTAGTAGTTGAGAGTGAGGAGCAAGCCTGAATGCTTGTATAAGTTGCATTCATATAGCGCCCTTTGCGCCGGATGCAATGCTTATTCTTATACAGCCCTTGAACACAGCGCTATGTGTATGTTGTCCAGGTCTGATGTAAACCCAACGGAAAATAGTAGAGCAAGGTTAGCAAGAGAAATTGTCAATACTTTCAAACCAACAACAGGGGATACATTCACACCAACACAGACACAAAGAGAGATAAGGACACACGAAAACTGACGATAAAACACTCAGAAATACACAGGGAGATACACAGCGCAGATAGAGAGACAGAGACCCTGGGAGAAACAGAAAGATTCATAGAGACAGAGATGAACTCGCACAAAGGGATAAACACACTCAGAAAGAGACAGATATTCACACAGATAGAGAGGCAGAGACACAGACAGAGAGGTACACTCACACCAACAGAGAGGGGTACATATAGACAGCAAGGGAGAAATACACAGAAAGGGTTACACGGAGAGACAGAACCACTCAACGACAACATTTCAAACGAATAGTGCCTTTCACACCGAGAGAATGCCCTAAACACAGAGAGAGAAACGGAGATATACAGAGACGGAGTGAGATAGGCAGATCAATACACTCGGACTGGCAGAGAGACAGAGAGATCCAGAAATACTTGCATGCGATTCAATGCCATAAAATGTTGTTGTGACGTCTCTAAATGGTTCACAAAATATCCTGTAAATTCACAGTGCTCTAACCACTGAGCTACAGTAGTGTATTACTGTATATATATACAGGAATATATAGACTGACCAACATAAGATACAACGCCATCCGGCGACTTCCAATCATTTCAAATCATTTGACTAGGTTTCATGGCAACGACCATAATTGTGGGAAAAGGCGACAGCTGATCTGTGCAGCAACAGCCAAGGAGTGATTTATCAAGTTTATCTCGGAGATTGCGGCCCCACACACCCCATGAAATTCCTTTTCTTTTCGTATTGTGCAGCAAGTCCTTTAATATCTAAAGAGTAAAGTCGGAGTTTTCTTATTAAGTTCCTATTCAAATCATGACTCCTCCAACAAGGGTCAATATCCCGATATGTGTCTGGGACCCACGCCTTTCTGATTGAGAGGGGAAAGTGCTACCAGCGAAATCAGGGAACAAGCTTAACTTTACTGCTCACTCATCTCACTAATGTATTGGGTAAATCACTTGCCAGGAACTCCAAATGCGGCGAGAATCGGATAGTAAATTTGTTGTATCCTGTGTATTAGCGCAGTTGCCATCCTCACAGAGAACTCCTCTCGGTACACACAGGAGCTCACACTAACAAGATGATATTCTTTGACAAAACATACAGTGGGATTTATACCAACGTGAACACTTCATTGAGCAGATTTACTGCACGAATATGGCTGAGTTTCAGTGATGTGGAAAACGTGAACTCTCCTGAGCCGTGCAACGTAACTCAGTCATTTATTTATAGCCAAATTATTGCTTGTTGTATCATCCATGCGGAAAAACCATCGCCATGGTTTCAAATCCGGAAATGCTATGCTGCATAAAGTGTACTACACGAATTCTAATTCATAGAATCATAGAATGTTACAGCGCAGAAGGAGGCCATTCGGCCCATCGAGTCTGTGCGGCTCTTTGACAGAGCAACTGATTTTTATCAACCGCACTCACCAGCTTTCTCCCCATAACCCTGCAAACCTGTCTTCTCCAGATACCTATCCAGTTCTCTCTTAAAAGCTGTTTTCGAATCGGACTTCACTGCCCTTTCAGATCATTCCAAATTCTAACAGCTCGCTGAGTGAAAAAAATTCTTCTAACCTCCCCTCTGCTTCTTTTGGTAGATATCTTAAGACTGTGACCACGAGTCACAGATACACCTACTAGTGGAAACAGCTTCTCCCTATCTCGCCTGTCGAAACCTTTCATGATCTTGAAGACCTCTATCAGATCTCCGCGTAATCTTCTCTGTTCTAATGGGAAAAGTCCTGACTTTTCCAGCCTGTCCTCATAGCTAAACTTCCCCATTTCTGGTATCATTCTCGTGAATCTCCTCTGCCCCCTTTCCAGTGCCTTAATATCCTTCCCGAGGTAAGGTGCCCAGAACTGGACGCAGTACTCCAGCTGAGGTCCAACCAGTGTTTTGTACAGATTAAGCATAACCTCCTTACTCTTATACTCTTTGCCCCCAATAATGAAGCTCAGTACAAAAATGCCCTTTTTACTGCCTTATCTACCTGCTCTGCCACCTTCAATGAATCGCTTACTTGAACGCCTAGATCTCTCTGTACATTCACCCCCCTTAAGATTGAGCTACCAAGCCTATATTGCCTCCTATCATTTTTCCTACCTAAGTGTATCACCTCACACTTATCTACATTGAATTCCATCTGCCACATGTCATCCCATTCCACCATTCTGTGTATGTCTGCCTGCAGTTCGTCACAATCTTCTTCACTATTTACTACCGAACTTGGTATCATCTGCAAGCTTGGAAATAGTGCTCCCTATGCCCAAGTCCAGATCATCAATATATATTAGAAAGAGGAGTGGTCCCAATACCGATCCCTGGGGGACACCGCTGCACACCGCCTTCCATTGCGAGAAGCACCCATTAACCACCACCGTCTGCATTCTCTCACTCAGCCAGTTCCTTATCCAAACGGCTACTATCCCCTTAATACCGTGGGCCTCCAGTTTTTTTTATTAACCTCTTATGCGGTACTGTGTCAAAAGCCTTTTTAAAATCCATGTAAATAATGTCCACCACATTTCCCTCATCATCCCTTTGTCTTTAACAAATCCATGCTGGCTGTCTCTAATTACCTCGTGTTCCTCAAAATAGAGATTTATTTTGTCCCGGATTACAGTTTCCAGTAGCTTTCCTATTACCGAAGTTAGGCTGACTGGCCTGTAATTTCCGGGCTTGACTTTCTGCCCCTTTTTGTGGAGTGGGGTAACATTAGTTACTCTCCAGACTCTTGGCACCACTCCTGTGTCCAATGATGATTGAAATAGAATGGCCAAAGCCTCCGCTATTTGAACCCGTATCACCCACAGCAACCTTGGATGAAACCCATCTGGTCCTGGTGACTTATCAATTTTGAGCCAAGTCAATTTTTTTATACCCTCCTCCCCACCATCGGAAGTAGTATCTTCAGTTACCATGCCCCAAACTCTGGAACTTTCTCCCTCAATTTCTCTACCTTGTTCCGTCTCTCCATTTATAGAGCCCCTTTCACGCCGGGAGGACGTCCCAAGGCGCTGTGCAGTTGGGTCAGCAGGGAGGAGTTAGACAGGGTGAGGGGAAGGAAGTGAGGGAGCGAGGAGGGGGTGGTATATTCTACTAAGTGCTTTTAGACATCTCAACGTTGCGATAAAGTTCCCTATGAAATGATAGGATTATTATCGTCATCACAATTTCCCGGAGAATTTGAAGATAGACTGGACAGTTTTATTGTTATGAGCTCTCACACGCATGTTTCTCTGTAACTTTTATCACTTTCTGTTACACACTGGGATAAGGGAATGTCACGAACTAGATGTATGTAAGAAAAGATTACATACCTGTCAATGATGGATTTGATGTCCTACAAAGGAAATGGAAACAAGAAGAGTGAGAGTCCATCTTGCACACAGATCGAGACGACCTTAAACGGGTATTAGATGGATTGTAGCTGTGATTCGTGTTAAATTGAGATAAACTGATAACTCATCCCTCCTGCGCAACAGGTCTCTGGAGTGGTGAGTTAGGCATCAATACATAAAGCAATGTGGCCAGAATATTGACAACATGATGACGTACGTTGTCGTGAATGTTAAGCCAGTGTCGTGTTATCGGAAGTGTACTGTTTTATTGAACTAAAACTAAATTTCTGATGTGAGTCACACAGATTATATTAAGTAACCCAATCACTTCACGTCAAAAATTATCCTCTCCCCTCGTCCATATAGCTTTATAAGTTCAGCTTTAACAACATAAACTATAGGTCTATCACACCAGACACACACCAGCATTAATACACTCACTGTCGGTCCATCACACCAATAGTAATACATTCATTGTCTGTCCATCACACCAGACACACATCGCATTAACATATACTCACTGTCTGTCTATCACAACAGACACACAGCCTATGTACCTTCAAGAATTCGGTGTTCTGTAGAGTCAGTCTTGTCTGGATTTCCGCTATTCTCTGGTTAATAGAAGTAATTTGCTTGGAAATGTCACTCTTATTGTTTTCTATTTGTCCTAAGATTGTGTCCTCCTGCTCTCCGAGTTTGGTGATAAGGTCTTGATGCTCCTCAGTCAGCAGCGAGTCACGTTGAGCAAATTCAGCATCGATGTTCTTCCTCAGACGCTCGGCTTGTGTCTGTAACAATAAACACAAGTTTAAAGTTACCCGACACAAGAACAGGGGCTCGGCCTGTCAGTCACGGTTACATTGCCCGTGAACCTGGTGATATCCTCCTGAGGGGGACGGTAGCGAGGTCTCCTGAACTGAACAGGCTCCAAGGTGACCCGCCTGGCAATGAAATGCCGGCATCGAGCCAAGCCCCGGTGACAGTCTCTTGTCCAGTTCCTGAGACAGGCCTGTCCACAGTATCCCAGGCACTGCTGATAACAGCACAGCCCAGACTGGCTCATCGACAGGACCTGGATAGGCAGACGAGTCACTGTTGTCAGTGAGTAAACCTACTCATCTCCTGATAACCCTGCAATATCAAACCGTAACTGGTAGGGTGTTCCTGGCTGGAGACAGCAATATCAATGGGATGGGCTAAGAAATGATATAACAACCCCTCATCCCCACTTCCAGTTGAGTAGCTCCTTCTTCTCTCTGACACTGTGTCATTTCATGCAACTGTTTATGAAGAGTTTCCAGTGCTTCCTGCAGCTTCTGCTGAAAGAAAGTGAACGTAAATTAACAGGGAGATGGGACAGAGTCATTGTTACTAATTCAGCATATTCCACATGTGTGACAGGGCTGCAATATTCCATTCCACTCCATCAACACAGCAAGATTCTGGGAACACAACCTTCTGACCCAGAGGCCGGTAAGATTGCTGCTCCGTGACCAACTGTACACAATATCAAGTCTTTACTAATATGTCACATAGAGTGTAACAGCACATTGACAAAGCTTCAACTGCAGACTAAACTTTAACTTGGTCATCAAACCAATCTTACATATTCAACAACTGGTTCAGTTGATCAGATTGTGGCCTCTGAGTCAGGAGGTTTCTGAACATTGTGTGCAAATAGGCAGCTATGCTCACAGTCAGTTCACTTTAGGGTTCCATAAACCTGGTCTGTATTCCCTTACTTTGGAAGGTTGAGGGGTGATCTGATTGAGGTGTTTAAAATAATACAGGATTTCAGTAGATTAGCTACAGAGACAGTATTTCTTCTGGTGATGGAATCCAGAAAAAAGTGGCATAACATTGCAGTTAGAAATAGGCCTTCATAAGAGAAATCAGGAAGCATATTTTTCGACACTGAATGATGCGGAAATCTGGAAACTTATCTCCAAAAGTCATTGGATTAATATTGAGGTGGATAGATTTTTGTTAGGTCAGGGTTTCAAGGGATATGGGGCAAAGGTGGTGAGTTACAGTTGAGGTACAGATCAGCCATGATCTAATAGAATGGCAAACAGGCTTCAATGTCTGAATCGTCTCCTCTTGTGCCTATGTTTATAGTGTATTTTGAAGCACTTTCAGACATCCTCCCGACGCTGTGTGAAATGTCCGGACTAATATCAATTCCACGACTTGTGGAGCTCAGCAGCTTCCTTAATGGGAATGAATGTGTGATCATTGTGATCACGGGATATCGTACAGACCTCACAGATCGCTCTTTGATCCATTTCACAAAACAGTTCCAGCTTCTCCTCATGCTCTTCCTACTAGATTCCCACATCTTCCAGTCCCGGATCCAGGCTCAGTTTCCGAACACTCTCCACCATGTTAGACAGAGTTCTGTTGGGACAAACACGCCTCTGGAGAATCTGCTGCCTGCACTGTGCACAGCACACACTTCCTTGTCCTGTGCCCCAACACTATAAAATACAGTCTCTGCAGAACTTGTGGCCGCAGCCTATATTCCGCGGATCCGTGTAAAACTCCAGAGAGATTGAACAAGGTATTTCCTATCTCAGATTCTTCAGTTACTGCACAGACTCCATTTCACCATCAGCTCTTTGCTCTGTTTGGGACTTTCACTTTTACCCAAATCAACAAGTGGCTCTGTGGGTGGGGATCACAGACCAGCTGCTGTTTGAAGGGACAAACACCTGAATGCAAAAAGAAAACAAATGTTAAGAACATTCGGCCCATTTGTACAGTCGCATCTCAGAATGTTTAACAGTAGCACTGATAGACATTGAGCTGAGGAAAATGGGAGCGGACCATCAGTTCAGTTCAAAAGGAAAGTGTTCCGTGTAAAGAGTGGCAAGGCTGTTGGACTGAGGAAGTGGATCGTGTAAAGTACTTGGCATTGTTTTTCAAGAGTCAAGGCTTGAAGTCCCCAACAACAGCAACAACAGCTTGCAATTATATAGGGCCCAACATGCATATTTGGTTAGCCTGTAAGAGCGCTTAACAGCAGCGGAGTTTGACTCCGAATTCAGGGAAGGGTGAGGTGGCCCGAAGCACAGTCGAACACGAAAGTCTTCATGTGGGTCTTGAAAGTGGGGAGAGAAGGGGCAAGGCAGAGGGCTTGAGGGAGAATATTCCATAGTTTTGCTGCACAGTGGCTGAAAGCACGACCTCCGATTGTGGGGCAGAGCGTGGTGCGAATGATGAGTGGGAGGCCCATGGCAGTCGAGCAGCAGTGTTTCACATAGGTAGGGAGGTGCTGGGGATTGAATGGATTTGAACACGAAAGTGAGATCTTGAACTCGATCCTTTCGAATAAGGGGAGGCAGTGGGGCCTGGGCCAGAACTGGTGAGATGTGTGTATGGAGCTTGGTCCAGGTCCTTCTTTGGACAGGAGATTTGTGAATGAGTTGCATCTTGTGAATGATGGAGCTGGAGAAGTGAGACGTGCGTGGGAGTAATCCAGGCGGCAAGTGAGAGCATGTTGCCGGAATCTAACCGGCTACAACCAGACAATTTATCGTAGAAAAGACTGTCTGGGAAGCGAATCCCCAGGACTACACTACCCACTTTGGCTTTGGCTTGCAGAGTTAATAATAATAGTAATACTTGTAGATGATACAGGCCTCCTCAGCACAACTCATTCACCTCAGCTCCTCTCAGCTCAGCTCCCCGCAACTCAGCTCCCCGCACCTCAGCTCCCCGGATCCTCAGCTCCCGCAACTCAGATCCACTCAGCTCAGCTTCACACAACTCAGTTCCACTCAGCTCAGCTCCTTTCTGCTCACTTCCCCACAGCTCTGCTGTTCCACTCAGCTCAGCTCACCTGAGCTCAGCTCCCCACAGTTCACCTCAGCTCCTCTCAGCTGAGCTCCCCTCAGCTCAGTTCCACACGGCTCAACTCACTTCAGCTCAGCTCCCCTCAGCTCTGCTGCTCTCAGCTCAACTCCCCAAAGCTCGCATCAGATCTGCTTCCCTCTGCTCAGCTTCCCTCAGCTCAGCTCCACTTAGCTCGGCTTCCCTGAGCTCAGCTCCCTTCAGCTCATCTCCCCTCAGCTAAGCTCCCTTCAGCTCAGCTCCACGCAACTCAACTTCCCTCGGCTTAGTTCCCTCGGCTCGGCACTCAGCATCTCAGTTCCCCTCAGCTCAGCTCTCCATGGCTCAGCTCTCCATAGCTCAGCTCCCATCAGCTCAGCCCCCTTCAGCTCAGCTCCCCTCAGCTCAACTCCCATCAGCTCAGCTCTCCATAGCTCAGCTCTCCATAGGTCAGCTCCCTCAGCTCAGCTCCCCTCAGCCCTGCTCCCTTCAGCTCAGGTCCCGCAGATCAGCTCCCCTCAGGTCAGCTCCCATCAGCTCAATACTCCACAGCTCAGCTCTCCATAGCTAAGCTCTCCGCAGCTCAGCTCCACTCAGCTCAGCTCTCAATTGTTCAGCTCTCCATAGCTCAGCTCCTCAAAGCTCAGCTCTCAATTGTTCAGTCTCCATAGCTCAGCTCCCCTCAGCTCAGCTCCCCGAAGCTCAGCTCCCCGCAGCTCAGGTCCCCTTAGGTCTGTTCCACGTAGCTCAGATCCCCGTAACTCAGCTCCCCAAACAATATCCCCCGGCATCTAAGCTCCGCTCAGCTAAGCTCCCCTCAGATCCGATCCCTCAAGCTCAGCTTCCATCAGTTCAGATACCATCAGCTTAGCTCCACTCAGCTCAGCTCCACACAGCCCTGTTCCATTCAGTTCTGCTGTGCTCAGCTCAGCTCCCCTCACCTCAGATCCCCACAGCTCCTCTCAGCTCAGCTTCCCTCAGCTCAGCTCCTCTTAGCTCCCCTCAACTCCCCTCAGCTCAGCTAACCTCAGCTCAGCACCTCTCAGCTCACGTCCCCTTAGCTCAGCTCCCATTAGCTCAGATCATCTAAATTCAAATAACCGCAGATCAGCTCCCCTCAGATCAGATCATCTCAATAATAATCCCCTCTGATCAGCTCCGCTCAGATCAGATCCCGTCACCTCAGGTCTACTCATCTCAGTTCCCCTCAGCTCAGCTCCCCTCAGCTCAGCTCCCCACAGCTCAGCTCACCGCAGATCAGATCTTCGTCGCTCAGATCCCCAAAGCTCAGCACTCCACAGATCAGCACTCCACAGCTCAGCTACCCTCAGCTCAGCTCCACTCAGCTCACCTCCACTCAGCTCAGCTCCACTCAGCTCAGCTCCACTCAGCTCAGCTCTCTTCAGCTCCGCGCAGCTCACTCACCTCAGATCAGCTCCTCTCTTCTCACGTCCCCTCTGCTCAGCTTCCCTCAACTCAGCTCCCCTCAGCTCAGCTCCACTCAGCTCATTTCCCCTCAGCTCAGCTCCACTCAATTCAGCGACGCTCAGCTCAGATCCCCAAAGCCCAGCTTCCTTCAGCTCAGCCTCCCTCAGCTCAGCTCCCCTCATCTCAGCTCCCCTCAGCTCAGCTACCCTCAGCTCAGCAACACTCAGCTCAGCTACTGTCAGCTCAGGTCACATCAGCTCAGGTCGCCGCAGCTCAGCTTCATTCAGCTCAGCGGCCATAGCTCAGCTCTCCATAGCTCAGCTCTCCATAGCTCAGCTCAGCTCCCCTCAGCTCAGGGTCCCGCAGCTCACCTGCCCTCAGCTCAGCTCTCCATAGTTCTGCTTTTCATAGCTCAGCACCCCTCTGCTCAGCTCCCCTCAGCTCAGCTCCCCTTAGCTCAGATCATCTCAACAAAAGTCCCCACAGATCAGCTCCGCTCAGATCAGCTCCTACCAGCTCAGTTCCCCACAGCTCAGCTCCCTTCAGCTCAGATATCCATAGCCCAGCTTCCCTCAGATCAGCTCCCCTCAGCTCAACTCCTCTCAGATCAGCTCCCCTCAGCTCAGCTCCCCTCAGCTCAGATCTCCATAGCCAGCTTTCCTCACCTGAGCTTCACTCAACTCAGCTCTTCTCAGCACCCATCAGCTCAGTTCCCCTCAGCTCAGCTCCCCTCAGCTCAGCTCCCCTCAGCTCAGCTCCATTCAGCTCAGCTCCCTTCAACTCAGCTACGCTCAGCTCAGATCTCCAGAGCACAGCTTCCCTTAGCTCAGCTTCCCTCAGGTCAGCTCCTCTTAGCTCCCCTCAGCTCAGCTCTCCTCAGCTCAGCTCCCTTCAGCTCAGCTCCCCTCAGCTTAGCTCCTCTCAGCTCAGCTCCCCTCAGCTCACCTCCCTCAACTCAGCTCAGCTCTCCATAGTTCTGCTCTCCAAAGCAAAGCACCCCTCAGCTCAGCTCCCCTCAGCTCAGCTCTCCTCAGCTCAGCTCTCCATAGCTCAGGTCTCCATAGCTCAGGTTCCCTCAGCTCAGCTCCCCACAGCTCCTCTCAGCTCAGCTCCCCACAGCTCAGCTCTCCTCAGCTCAGCTCCACTCAGTTCAGCTCATCTCCCCTCAGCTCCCTCAGCTCAGCTCCCCTCAGCTCAGATCTCCATAGCCAGCTTTCCTCACCTGAGCTTCACTCAACTCAGCTCTTCTCAGCACCCATCAGCTCAGTTCCCCTCAGCTCAGCTCCCCTCAGCTCAGCTCCCCTCAGCTCAGCTCCACTCAGCTCAGCTCCCTTCAACTCAGCTACGCTCAGCTCAGATCTCCAGAGCACAGCTTCCCTTAGCTCAGCTTCCCTCAGGTCAGCTCCTCTTAGCTCCCCTCAGCTCAGCTCTCCTCAGCTCAGCTCCCTTCAGCTCAGCTCCCCTCAGCTTAGCTCCTCTCAGCTCAGCTCCCCTCAGCTCACCTCCCCTCAACTCAGCTCAGCTCTCCATAGTTCTGCTCTCCAAAGCAAAGCACCCCTCAGCTCAGCTCCCCTCAGCTCAGCTCTCCTCAGCTCAGCTCTCCATAGCTCAGGTCTCCATAGCTCAGGTTCCCTCAGCTCAGCTCCCCACAGCTCCTCTCAGCTCAGCTCCCCACAGCTCAGCTCTCCTCAGCTCAGCTCCACTCAGTTCAGCTCAGCTCCCCTCAGCTTCCCTCAGCTCAGCTCCACTCAGCTCAGCTCCCCTCAGCTCAGCTTCCATCAGCTCAGCTCCCCTCAGCTCAATTCCCGTCAGCTCAGGTCCCTTCAGCTCAGCTCCCCTCAGCTCAGCTCCCCTCACCTCAACGCCTCTCAGCTCAGCTCCTCACAACTCAGCTCAGCTCCGCTCAGCTCCCCTCAGCTCAGCTAACCTCAGCTCAGCTCATGTCCCCTCAGCTCAGCTCCCCTCAACTCAGATAATCTCAGCTCAGCTCCCCTCAGTTCAGCTCCCCTCAGCTCAGATCTCCACAGCTCAGGTTCCCTTTGCTTACCTCCCTCAGCTCAGCTCCCCTCAGCTATGCTCAGCTCAGCTTCCTTCAGCTCAGCTTAGTGTAGCTCAGGAGACCTGATATACCAGAGATGAAGGGCTCAGCACAAGAACTGGAAACCGTGGGTATAAAAAGCACAATCCTTGCATTTGATGTAGCATTTGATCACATCTTCAAGACGTCTCAAATCGCTTCACGGAACGTACTGTAAAATGAATTTAATGACCACAACCGCGAATAAATCGTAATAATAATCCTTGCATGTGATATAGCACCTAATCACATCTTTGAGATGTTTCAAAGCTCTTCACAAAATATGAAATAAATTGACGATATATTTTCTGGGTGATATGTAGCAGCCAATTGCACACAACAGTATTCTACAAACAATCGTGAATTGACTGACTAGATTTTATTTATTGTTAAAAATTTTAATAAATTGCAAAGATTTATATCCGCGGAAAAACAATCCACCGATCGAGTAACTAAATTGTTTCCACTTACTGGTCGGTAGACAGAAGTATGTCGAGTCAGGAAACTTGCCCAATGTTTCGCCCTACCTGGGATTCAAACACAGACCCTCTCGCTTGTGAGGCGAGTGCTCATAACCACCACACTGAAGGACTCCACAATAATGCAATTCAACTTCATTTTATGAATCAACAGCCAATGAATGCAGCATCATGTAGCTTTAAGGAAAATCTAAAGCAAATAAGGAGTCACTAATTAACAGGGATTGAGAAGCAATCAATTCCTCTTCGATGAGACTGGAATATTTCTGAATGCTTTCATTCAGTGTAAATTGGACTCCATTATATTTAAGTATTAATATTATTAACCGAATGGCACCATTTTATCCTTACCTAAAATTACAAGTAATTTGAAATAAGATGGTCTTATGTTATTCCCTCCTTTTAAGGAGGGAACGATTGAGATCAATCAACGTCATCCAACCTTCCTGAGCCAAAGTCTGGAGACCAAACCGCAGTTAGGTTACAGGAAAATATCCACAAGAAACAACGTTGTATTTTGGCCTTGATAAGGTTTTACTGACTGTTGCACAGTGAGGTTCAAAGAGTAGGAACATGAATTGGCAGGTTACTAAAATGTAACACAGGGAAAGTTGAAGTGGGAGGTGGTAATGTCACACTTGTGTTGGTTTGAGGATTGATGGGAAGCCATCAATGTGGAGTCCTGTAGCTCAGTGGTTGAGCACTCGCTTTGCAAGTGAGAGACCTGAGTTCAATTCCAGGCAGGGTGAAACCTTGGGCAAGTTTCCTTACTCCACACGCCTAATAATAATCCCTCCAAAACCCAAAACAATAATTAAATTGGTCATTTTCAATCTACGACTGTTTGTGGGACATTGCTGTGCGCAATTGGCTGCCGCGTTCGCCCACAAATATACAGTCAATTCACTTTACAGTGTGTTCTGTGAAGCGCTTTGGGACGTCCTCCCGACGTGAAAAGCGCTATATCAAATGCAAGGATTATTATTATTATTATTAAGCCCAGAGATTGGGGAAGATAACTGTTTAGACAGTAACAGGCTGAACAAGTTGCTGACTGTAAGAGCAACTGTAAAGGGTGAAGTGAATTGTTTTATTGCACAAAAGTAGAGATTATTCAAGGAGTGTCAGCACAGTCTGAACGCTGCAGGGCCAGGTGCAGAATGTGACAGCCTGGCTCAGTGCTAGTCCTCTCCACCATATCAGAAGGCTATGCGTTCAACCCTAAGTCAGAATCTGAACATATACGCTGTAAACTGATATAGCAATGGGAGAGCAAGAGGTGTGTTTCATTGTCAGACGTGTAAAAAGTGGAGCGGAGGGGGCGAGTTTAGTGGAACTCCGTTAAATTCAGGAGTTTTTACACTATTTATAGTTTCTGTGCATGAATAAAGTTTGCGGTACCAATATTGGGGAAAAAAGCAATAACAATAATTTTACATTGATATTGTCATGACTCAAATCACTGGGATCCGTTGCTGATTTGGGGGAGGAGGGTGGGGGGGAGGGCGGAGGGGCGGAATACAAAATGGGGGACATTGAAACTGACTGAAAGTTCATTCAAACGGAAAGTTCTTGGGTGGGTTTAAAGGTGGTGAAGAGGCAGAGCGACTCCAGGATAAATTTCCAGAGCTGGGGAAGAGTGGTTCAATTGACTGTATATTTTGTGGGTGATATGCAACAGCCAATTGCACACAGCAGTGTCCAAGAAACAATCGTGGATTGAGTAATCGGATTTTGTTTATTTTTAAGATTTTAAAAAAATTGTAGAATTTATTACCCCCAGAAAAGTGATCCACTGATCAATTAACAAACGTGTTCCTCCTTACTGCTCGGTAAACGGATGTGTATTGAGTAAGGAGACTTGCCTAATGTTTCGCCCTGCGTGGGAATCGAACCGAGGTCTTCTCGCTTGTGAAATGTGAAAGCCACTGTTAACCAGACAGAGCTGTCAGAAGCTGTGGCAATCAGAAAGGCCCGAAAGCACATAAAGGAGTCAAATGCAGAAACCCAACAGGAAAATACAGATAATTAATCTGAGTTATTATCACATCACTGATAACCACCAGCAGATCCGGCATTGCCATAGAAACCGGGTAACGAGTGACCCAGGTAGAGTGACCACACTTTCCACGAGACAGGATCACAATCGCCAGTAAGTTACCTGTAGAATGATAATTATTGGTCAGACTCCACATTATTTCTGGCACATACTCATACTGAAATGCATTTAAACTAGATTGAGAATTCTGCATGTACATTTACCATGGAATACACACTCTCTTCCTACAGTAACACACCTCAGTATCAGTCACAGTTTGCTGAACAAAAGCTTGGGTACCAATTACTGAAGCTTTGTTAACTACAACTGCACACAGCTTGTCAATTGCGTGCATTGCCTGGACGATATCTATGTTTTGGTCAGCTGGTACTGTTCGTGTTGGAGGTTTGGCTTTGCCATTGTTGGACTGAGGAAGTGGATCGTGTAAAGTACTTGGCATTGTTTTTCAAGAGTCAAGGCTTGAAGTCCCCAACAACAGCACAACAGCTTGCAATTATATAGGGCCCAACATGCATATTTGGTTAGCCTGTAAGAGCGCTTAACAGCAGCGGAGTTTGACTCCGAATTCAGGGAAGGGTGAGGTGGCCCGAAGCACAGTCGAACACGAAAGTCTTCATGTGGGTCTTGAAAGTGGGGAGAGAAGGGGCAAGGCAGAGGGCTTGAGGGAGAATATTCCATAGTTTTGCTGCACAGTGGCTGAAAGCACGACCTCCGATTGTGGGGCAGAGCGTGGTGCGAATGATGAGTGGGAGGCCCATGGCAGTCGAGCAGCAGTGTTTCACATAGGTAGGGAGGTGCTGGGGATTGAATGGATTTGAACACGAAAGTGAGATCTTGAACTCGATCCTTTCGAATAAGGGGAGGCAGTGGGGCCTGGGCCAGAACTGGTGAGATGTGTGTATGGAGCTTGGTCCAGGTCCTTCTTTGGACAGGAGATTTGTGAATGAGTTGCATCTTGTGAATGATGGAGCTGGAGAAGTGAGACGTGCGTGGGAGTAATCCAGGCGGCAAGTGAGAGCATGTTGCCGGAATCTAACCGGCTACAACCAGACAATTTATCGTAGAAAAGACTGTCTGGGAAGCGAATCCCCAGGACTACACTACCCACTTTGGCTTTGGCTTGCAGAGTTAATAATAATAGTAATACTTGTAGATGATACAGGCCTCCCCTCAGCACAACTCATTCAGCTCAGCTCCTCTCAGCTCAGCTCCCCGCAACTCAGCTCCCCGCACCTCAGCTCCACGGATCCTCAGCTCCCGCAACTCAGATCCACTCAGCTCAGCTTCCCACAGCTCAGCTCCACTCAGCTCAGCTCCTTTCTGCTCACTTCCCCACAGCTCTGCTGTTCCACTCAGCTCAGCTCACCTGAGCTCAGCTCCCCACAGTTCACCTCAGCTCCTCTCAGCTGAGCTCCCCTCAGCTCAGTTCCACACGGCTCAACTCACTTCAGCTCAGCTCCCCTCAGCTCTGCTGTTCTCAGCTCAACTCCCCTCAGCTCTGCTGCTCTCAGCTCCCCAAAGCTCCCCTCAGATCTGCTTCCCTCTGCTCAGCTTCCCTCAGCTCAGCTCCACTCAGCTCGGCTTCGCTGAGCTCAGCTCCCTTCAGCACATCTCCCCTCAGCTTATCTCCCTTCAGCTCAGCTCCACGCAACTCAACTTCCCTCGGCTTAGTTCCCTCGGCTCGGCACTCAGCATCTCAGTTCCCCTCAGCTCAGCTCTCCATGGCTCAGCTCTCCATAGCTCAGCTCCCATCAGCTCAGCCACCTTCAGCTCAGCTCCCCTCAGCTCAGTTCCCATCAGCTCAGCTCTCCATAGCTCAGCTCTCCATAGCTCAGCTCTCCAAAGATCAGCTCCCCTCAGCTCAGCTCCCTTCAGCTCAGGTCCCGCAGATCAGCTCCCCTCAGGTCAGCTCCCATCAGCTCAATACTCCACAGCTCAGCTCTCCATAGCTAAGCTCTCCGCAGCTCAGCTCCACTCAGCTCAGCTCTCAATTGTTCAGCTCTCCATAGCTCAGCTCCTCACAGCTCAGCTCTCAATTGTTCAGTCTCCATAGCTCAGCTCCCCTCAGCTCAGCTCCCCGAAGCTCAGCTCCCCGCAGCTCACCCCCGGCAGCTAAGCTCCGCTCAGCTAAGCTCCCTCAGATCCGATCCCTCAAGCTCAGCTTCCATCAGTTCAGATACCATCAGCTTAGCTCCACTCAGCTCAGCTCCACTCAGCCCTGTTCCATTCAGTTCTGCTGTGCTCAGCTCAGCTTCACTCAGCTCAGCTCCTCTTAGCTCCCCTCAACTCCCCTCAGCTCAGCTAACCTCAGCTCAGCACCTCTCAGCTCACGTCCCCTTAGCTCAGCTCCCATTAGCTCAGATCATCTAAATTCAAATACCCGCAGATCAGCTCCCCTCAGATCAGATCATCTCAATAATAATCCCCTCTGATCAGCTCCGCTCAGATCAGATCCCGTCACCTCAGGTCTACTCATCTCAGTTCCCCTCAGCTCAGCTCCCCTCAGCTCAGCTCCCCACAGCTCAGCTCACCGCAGATCAGATCTTCGTCGCTCAGATCCCCACAGCTCAGCACTCCACAGATCAGCACTCCACAGCTCAGCTACCCTCAGCTCAGCTCCACTCAGCTCACCTCCACTCAGCTCAGCTCTCTTCAGCTCCGCGCAGCTCACTCACCTCAGATCAGCTCCTCTCTTCTCACGTCCCCTCTGCTCAGCTTCCCTCAACTCAGCTCCCCTCAGCTCAGCTCCACTCAGCTCATTTCCCCTCAGCTCAGCTCCACTCAATTCAGCGACGCTCAGCTCAGATCCCCAAAGCCCAGCTTCCTTCAGCTCAGCCTCCCTCAGCTCAGCTCCCCTCATCTCAGCTCCCCTCAGCTCAGCTACCCTCAGCTCAGCAACACTCAGCTCAGCTACTGTCAGCTCAGGTCACATCAGCTCAGGTCGCCGCAGCTCAGCTTCATTCAGCTCAGCGGCCATAGCTCAGCTCTCCATAGCTCAGCTCTCCATAGCTCAGCTCAGCTCCCCTCAGCTCAGGGTCCCGCAGCTCACCTGCCCTCAGCTCAGCTCTCCATAGTTCTGCTTTTCATAGCTCAGCACCCCTCTGCTCAGCTCCCCTCAGCTCAGCTCCCCTTAGCTCAGATCATCTCAGCAAAAGTCCCCACAGATCAGCTCCGCTCAGATCAGCTCCTACCAGCTCAGTTCCCCACAGCTCAGCTCCCCTCAGCTCAGATATCCATAGCCCAGCTTCCCTCAGCTCAGCTCCCCACAGCTCCTCTCAGCTCAGCTCCCCACAGCTCAGCTCTCCTCAGCTCAGCTCCTCTCAGATCAGCTACCCTCAGCTCCCCTCAGCTCCCCTCAGCTCAGCTCCCCTCAGCTCAGATCTCCATAGCCAGCTTTCCTCACCTGAGCTTCACTCAACTCAGCTCTTCTCAGCACCCATCAGCTCAGTTCCCCTCACTCAGCTCCCCTCAGCTCAGCTCCCCTCAGCTCAGCTCCACTCAGCTCAGCTCCCTTCAACTCAGCTACGCTCAGCTCAGATCTCCAGAGCACAGCTTCCCTTAGCTCAGCTTCCCTCAGGTCAGCTCCTCTTAGCTCCCCTCAGCTCAGCTCTCCTCAGCTCAGCTCCCTTCAGCTCAGCTCCCCTCAGCTTAGCTCCTCTCAGCTCAGCTCCCCTCAGCTCACCTCCCCTCAACTCAGCTCAGCTCTCCATAGTTCTGCTCTCCAAAGCAAAGCACCCCTCAGCTCAGCTCCGCTCAGCTCAGCTCTCCTCAGCTCAGCTCTCCATAGCTCAGGTCTCCATAGCTCAGGTTCCCTCAGCTCAGCTCCCCACAGCTCCTCTCAGCTCAGCTCCCCACAGCTCAGCTCTCCTCAGCTCAGCTCCACTCAGTTCAGCTCAGCTCCCCTCAGCTTCCCTCAGCTCAGCACCACTCAGCTCAGCTCCCATCAGCTCAGCTCCTCTCAAATCAGCTACCCTCAGCTCTGCTCCCCTCCCCTCAGCTCAGCTCCCCTCAGCTCAGCTCCCCTCACCTCAACGCCTCTCAGCTCAGCTCCTCACAACTCAGCTCAGCTCCGCTCAGCTCCCCTCAGCTCAGCTAACCTCAGCTCAGCTCATGTCCCCTCAGCTCAGCTCCCCTCAACTCAGATAATCTCAGCTCAGCTCCCCTCAGTTCAGCTCCCCTCAGCTCAGATCTCCACAGCTCAGGTTCCCTTTGCTTACCTCCCTCAGCTCAGCTCCCCTCAGCTATGCTCAGCTCAGCTTCCTTCAGCTCAGCTTAGTGTAGCTCAGGAGACCTGATATACCAGAGATGAAGGGCTCAGCACAAGAACTGGAAACCGTGGGTATAAAAAGCACAATCCTTGCATTTGATGTAGCATTTGATCACATCTTCAAGACGTCTCAAATCGCTTCACGGAACATACTGTAAAATGAATTTAATGACCACAACCGCGAATAAATCGTAATAATAACCCTTGCATGTGATATAGCACCTAATCACATCTTTGAGATGTTTCAAAGCTCTTCACAAAATATGAAATAAATTGACGATATATTTTCTGGGTGATATGTAGCAGCCAATTGCACACAACAGTATTCTACAAACAATCGTGAATTGACTGACTAGATTTTATTTATTGTTAAAATTTTTTAAAAATTGCAAAGATTTGTATCCGCGGAAAAACAATCCACCGATCGAGTAACTAAATTGTTTCCACTTACTGGTCGGTAGACAGAAGTATGTCGAGTCAGGAAACTTGCCCAATGTTTCGCCCGTCTATAACACCAGACACACACCAGCATTAACACACTCACTGTCTGCTGTCTGAACCAGACACACAGCCTATGTACCTTCAGGAATTCGGTGTTCTGGAGAGTCAGTCTTGTCTGGATTTCCGCTATTCTCTGGTTAATAGAAGTAATTTGCTTGGAAATGTCACTCTTATTGTTTTCTATTTGTCCTAAGATGGCTCCTCCTGCTGTCTGAGTTTGTTGATCATGTCTCTGCTCCTCGGTCAGCACCTGGTGACGTTTCAGCAAATTCAGCTCGATGTTCTTCCTCAGACGCTCGGCTTGTCTCTGTCACAATAAACACAACTTTAACATTATCCGGCACAAGAACAGGAGCTCGGCCTGTCAGTCACGGTTACATTTCCCGTGAACCTGGTGATATCCTCCTGAGGGGGTGGGTTGCGAGGTCTCCTGAACTGAACTGAACTGACTCCAAGGTGACCTGCCTGGCAATGGAATGGCGGCATCGAGAGAGGCCTCTGTGATGGTATCTTGTCCAGTTCCTGAGTCAGTCTGGTCCACAGTATCCCAGGGCACTGCTAATAACGGCACAGCCCAGACTGGCTCATCGACAGGACGTGGATAGGCAGACGAGTCACTTTGGGCAGTGATTAAACAGACTCATCTCCTGAAAACCCTGCGATATCAAGCCCTAACCTGTAGGGTGGTCTGGCTGGAAACAGCGGGAAAGCTTGTCGCACAGCAATATCAATGGAATGGGATATATCAGAGCTGATGTACAAACGCCTCACCTTCACTTCCAGTTGAGTGGTTCCTTCTTCATTCTGACACTGAAACATTTCATTCAACTGTTTCTGAAGGGTGTCCAGTGCTTTCTGCAGCTTTTGCTGAACCAAAGTGAATGTAAATAAACAGGAAGAAGGGACAGAGTCATTATTATTGGTTTAGTACATTCTACTTGTGTGACAGAGCTGTAATATTCCATTCCACTCGATCGACACAGTCAGATGGTGAGGCCTAAGAACTTCTGGATTTACCTGACATGCCATCAGCAAGCAGGCAACACCAGGGCTTGAACACACAACCGTGTGACCCAGAGGCCGGCGAGATTGCTGCTCAGTGACCGGCTGTGCACAATATCATCTATTTACTAATATGTTACACAGAGTGTAACAGCACATTGACAATGCTTCATCTGCTCGACTAAACTTTAACTTGGTCATCAAACCAATCTTACATAATAAACACCTGGTTCATTTGATCAGATTGTGTCCTCTGAGTCAGGAAGTTGTGGGACATTGCTGTGTGCAAATCGGCAGCTGTGCTCACAGTCAGGTCACTTTAGGGCTCCATAAACCTGGTCTGTATTCCCTTCAGTTTAGAAGGTTGAGGGCTGATCTGATTGAGGTGTTTAAAATAATAAAGGATTTCGATAGAGCAGCAACAGAGACAGTATTTCTTCTGGTGACAGAATCCAGAACAACGGGAATAATATTAGAGTTAGAACAAGGCCTTCATCAGTGAAATCAGGAAGTATATTTTCCGACATAAAAGTTTGTGGAAATCTGGAACTGTCTCCCCAAAATTCCATGGATTAAGAGATATTTGGATAGATTTTTGTTAACTCGGGGTATCAAGGGATATGGGGCAAAGGTGGGGATTTTCAGTTGAGGTACAGATCAGCCATGATCTAACTGAATGGCAAACAGGCTTCAAGGCCTGAATGGTCTCCACCTGTGCCTATGTTCCTGTTGCTATGTTTACAGTGTATTCTGAAGCACTTTGAGACGTCTTCACGGCGTTCTATGAAATTTCAATATTAATATCAATTCCATACCTTGCGGAGCTCAGCAGCTTCCTGAATGGGAATGACTGTGTGATACTTGTGATCATGGGACATCGCACAGACCACACAGATCGCTCTTTGATCCATTTCACAAAACAGTTTCAGCTTCTCCTCATGCTCTCCACACTGGATTCCCACCTCTTCCAGCCTCGGATTCAGGAATAGTCTCTGAAGACTCTCTACAACGTTAGACAGAGTTCTGTTGAGCCGAACACTCCACTGAGGAATCTGCTGCCTACACTGTGGACAGGACACACTTCCTTGCCCTGTGCCCCAACACTGTAAAATACAGTCTCTGCAGAAGTTGTGGCCACAGCCAAGAGACACCGGATCCGTATAAAACTCCAGACAGATTGAACAAGTGGCTTCATTTCTCAGGTTCTCCAGTTCCTGTGCAGACGCCATTTCACCATCAGCGCTTTGCGCTATTTGGGACTTTCACTTTCCCCCAAACCAGGAAGTGGCTGTGCGGGTGGGGATCACAGACCAACTGCTGTTTAAAGGGACAGACACCTGAAGACAAAAGGAAGACTGATGTTTAGCACATTTGGCCATTCGTAAGGTCACGTCTCAGAATGTTTAACAATAGCATTGATGGACATTGCACTGAGGAGAAATTGGAGGTGACAATAGGTTCAAGAGGAAAGTGATCCGGGTAAACGGGGGGCAAGGCCGAGGGACTGAGACATAGGGTAAGGTAATATACAAGGAGTTGTTTTGCAAGAGCCAAGGCTCAAGGTCTGGAAATTTATTCCTGTGACCATTCTACCCATAGGGCTTTGGCTTGCAGCGTTAATAATAATAATAATCTTTGCATTTGATATCGTGCTCCCCCCCCTCCCCTGAGCACAGCTCCCCTCAGCTCACGTACCCCATGTCACCTCAACTTCCCTCAGCAGCTCACCAACCCTCACCTCATCTCAACTCCCCTCAGCTCACCTCCACTTAGCTCCCCTCAGCAGCTCCCCTCCCTCACATCCCCACAGCTACCCTCCCCTCACATTCCCTCAGCTCCTCTCACATCCCCTCAGCCACCCCTCCCCTCACATTCCCTCAGCTCCCCTCACATCCCATCAGCTCCTCTCACATCCCCTCAGCTCCCATCTCCTCAGCTCCCCTCACATCCCCTCAGCTCCCATCCCCTCAGCTCCTCTCATATCCCCTCAGCCCCCCCTCCCCTCACATTCCCTCAGCTCCCCTCACATCCCATCAGCTCCTTTCACATCCCCTCAGCTCCCATCCCCTCATCTCCCCTCACATCCCCTCAGCTTCCCTCCCTTCACATCCCCTCAGCTCCCTGCAGCTCCCATCACAGACCCTCACATCCCCTCAGCTCCCCTCACATACCCTCAGCTCCCCTCTCACCCCCTCAGCCCACTCCCCTCACATCCTCTCAGCTACCCTCCCCTCACATCCCCTCAGTACCCCCCCTCACACCCTCTCATCTACCCTCCCCTCACATCTCCACAGCTCTCCTCCCCTCACATCCCCTCAGCTCCCCCCCCCCACACCCTCAGCTCTCCCCCTCACATCCCCTCAGCTACCCCCCTCACATCCCCTCAGCTACCCCCCTCACATCTACTCAGTTCCCCTCAGCTCCCCTCACATACCCTCAGCTCACTTCGCATCCCCTCAGTTCACTTCGCATCCCCTCAGCTCCCCTCACATCCCCACAGCTCCCCTCACATCCCCTCAGCTCCCCTCACATCCCCTCAGCTCCCCTCACATCCCTCAGTCCCCTCATCCCCTCAGCTCCCCTCACATCCCTTCAGCTCCCCTCACATACCCTCAGCTCACCTCACATCCCCTCAGCTCACCTCCCCTCACATCCCCTCAGCTCACCTCACATCCCCTCAGCTCACCTCCCCTCAGCTCCCCTCACATCCCCTCAGCTCACCTCCCCTCATATTGAGTTGAGACGCACTGAGTTTCAAACTGCCCGCCCATAGGGCTTTGGCTTGCAGCGTTAATAATAATAATCTTTGCATTTGATATCGTGCTACCCCCGCATTCCCTGAGCTCAGCTCCCCTCAGCTCACGTAACCCATGTCACCTCAACTTCCCTCAGGTCAGCTCAACTCAGCAGCTCACCAACCCTCACATCATCTCAACTCCCCTCAGCAGCTCCCCTCCCCTCACATCCCCTCAGCTCCCTTTCCCTCATATCCCCTCAGCTTCCCTCACATTCCCTCAGCCACCCTCACATCTCCACAGCTCTCCTCCCCTCACATCCCCTCAGCTCCCCTTCCCCGTCAGCTCATATCCCCTCATATTGAGTTGAGACGCACTGAGTTTCAAACTGCCCGCCCTCTGGCCAGCAGCCCGCTGATTGGTTGAGGTGCATCCGCGTCATAATGGGATCCTCCAGCTGGGAGACACGCTGCCGCTGATTGGCTGAGGCGCTATGAACCCGACGTTCCATTTGGAGAAATTATATTTTATGGCGGGAATTTGTTCTTAAACCGTAACAGCGCTCGTCTCTGTACAACAGTCCTGGTCTCTGTACAACAGTCCTGGTCTCTGTACAACAGCCCCGGTCTCTGGACAACAGTCCCGATCTCTGGACAACAGCCGCGGTCTCTGGACAACAGCCCCGGTCTCTGGACAACCCCGGTCTGGACAACCGCCGGTCTCTGGACAACAGCCCTGGTCTCTGGACAACAGCCCTGGTCTCTGGACAACATCCCTGGTCTCTGGACAACAGCCCTGGTCTCTGGACAACAGCCCTGGTCTCTGTATAACAGCTTTGGTCTCTGTGCAGCAGCCCTGGTCTCCCTCCACAAGCTGCAGGTCATTCGGAACTCTGCAGCTCGTGTACTGTCCCGCACCAGGCTTCGGGACCATATCACCCCAACCTCGCCCTCGCTCGCCTCCACTGGTTCCCAATCCCCCTGAGGATCGAATTCAATAATAATAATAATAATAATCCTTGCATTTGATATAGCGCTTTTCACGTCGGGAGGAAGTCCCAAAGCGCTTCACAGAATATACTGCAAAGTGAATTGACTGTATATTTGTGGGCGAACGCGGCAGCCAATTGCGCACAGCAATATCCCCAAAACAGTCGTAGATTGCAAATGACCAATTTATTATTGTTTTTGGTTTTGGAGGGATTATTATTATGCGTGTGGAGGAAGGAAACTTGCCCAAGGTTTCGCCCTGCCTGTAATTGAACTCAGGTCTCTCGCTTGCAAAGCGAGTGCTCTAACCACTGAGCTACAGGATTCTACAGGAATTCAAGATCCTCATCCTCACCTACAAGGCCATTCACGGCTTTGCTCCCTCCTACCTCTCCGACCTACTATCCCCCTACTTACCTGCCTGTACCCTCCATTCCTCTGGCTCTGGTCTGCTCCACATCCCCCGCCCCAACCGCCCTACCATCGGTGGCCGGGCCTTCAGCCTCTCAGCCCCTAGGCTCTGGAACTCTATCCCCCAAGTGCCTTTGCCTTGCTTCCTCCCTTTCCTCCTTCAAGGCCGGTCTCAAGACCTTTCTCGTTGTCCGTGCCTTCAGCTCCTCTCTCGACTCTCTACCCCCTGCTCGCCCCCTCGCTTCCCTCCCCCTGACCATTTCCCCCCTCCTCGCTCCCTCCCTTCCCTCCCTTGGTCCTGACCATTTCCCCCCTGCTCGGGTCCTGACCCAACTGTCCAGCGCGTTGGGCCGTCCTCCCGATGTGAAAGGTGCTCCATAAATGGAATCTTGTTGTTGTTGTAAAGTAGCCCTGGTCTCTGTACAACAGCCCTGGTCTCTGCACAACAGTCCTGGTCTCTGTACAACAGCCCTGGTCTCTGTACCACAGCCCTGGTCTCTGTACCACAGCCCTGGTCTCTGTTCCACAGCCCTGGTCTCTGTTCCACAGCCCTGGTTTCTGTACTACAGCCCTGGTCTCTGTACAACAGCCCTGGTCTCTGTACAGCAGTCCTGGTCTCTGTACAACAGTCCTGGTCTCTGTACAACAGGCCTGGTCTCAGGACAATAGGCCTGGTCTCCAAATAACAGCTCTGGTCTCTGTATAACAGGTCCGGTCTCTGTACATCGGGTACGATCTCTGTATAACGGGCCTGATCTCTGTATAACAGCCCTAGTTTCTGTGTAACAACCCTGGTCTCTGTATAATATCTTGCTATATCGGTGTCAGTCAGTCAGTCTGGCTCGACCGGATGCTCTCACCTCAGAGTCACTGGTTCCAGATCCGCATCGGGGGCACTTCCAGCTCACAGTCCAGTCTGATCCTCCAGTGCAGGGGATTCCTCTTTCCCTCTTACCGTTCCTGGTAGTTGGGCTGCTCTCTATCGCTAACTGTCCTGTGGAGGGGTTGGAGGGCTCCTCTTTCCTTCTAACTGTCCCTGTGGTAGGAGCTCTTCCCTCTCTCTAATTGTCCCTATCGGGGGGGGGGGGGGGGGCTCCCGCTCTCTCTCCAGCTGTCCCTGTGTGGTGGTGGGTGGGTGGGTTCTCCTCCGTCTTTCTCTAACTGTCCCTGTGTGGTGTGGGGGGTGTGGGGCTCCTTTCTCTCTCTAATTGTCCCTGTGGTGGGGGTGGTCTTTCCTTGGCTCCCCACTCCTCTTTCTGATCTATATGCTCCCTCATGGAGATCTCATCCGCAGACATGGGGTACATGTATGCAGATAACAACCACCTCTCTTTGCGCCCCCCCAGTCCCTGATGCTCTGCCTGTCAGATCTCAGGTGTTGGATAAGCGCAAACTTCCTTCAGCTGAATGTTGACAAGACGGAACCCATAATCTTCGGCTCTTGTCAACGTCTAAAATCTCATGGTTCTCACCTCCTCCACCTGCCTGACCTCCCTCTCAAACTCTCTGAACCCGTACGCAACCTATACGTCAGGTTCAACCCCCAATTATCCTTTCTCCCCCACATCCGGTCCTTCACCAGCACCGCCTTTTTCCAACTCCGTCGCATCGCCCGGCTCCGCAAATACCTCTCCCAAAAGCCGATGAAAATCTGGTCGCTATATAAATCCAGTTGTTGTTACAGATCTGTGTCCTTATGTGTTAATGTGCATATGTGTGTGTCTATCTGTGTATGTGGGTGTCTTCATGTGCGAGTGTGTATGTCTGTGTGTGAGTTTCAACGTTTGTATGTGTATATGTGTCTGTTTTGTGGATTGAATGACTAATTTGTTTAAGAAAGGAATTATTAACGACAGAAAGTGATCTAACACCTGGGTTCCAACTTACTGCTGAACAGAGGGGTGTGTGTGGAATAAGGAAACTTGTCCAACTTTTTGCCTGGCTCAGGCATCGAACCATGGTCCTCTCGCTTTCAGCTACAGGACTACAAAACAGGAGCTGAGTCTGTTCCTCCCAGTCCTGCTGAGCCAGGCTGGGCCGCGCTGTGGCCAACAGTGACTGCAGCCCAACCTGACTCAGGGACTGGAGCGACACAGAGAGAGAGCGACAGAGAGAGAGAGCGACAGAGAGAGAGAGAATAAGAGTACCAGAGATAAAGAAACAAAGAAAGGCAGAGAGACACAGAAGCAGAGTGAGGCAG